ACTACGAGCTCCACTCTCTCGACTTCAGCACAGCTTTCTTGCAGGGCAACCTGCACGAGGAGATCTGGCTTCACTGGGTCTTTCCCTCCTGGTACCCAGTGGAGTCTCCGGCGTCCAGTCTACGGTCTCCGTTAGGCGCCACGTGAGTGGCACGACACACTGAGGACTACGCTCGCGGCACTTGGGTTTGCTCCTTCCACTGCCGACCCGTCGCTGTTTCTGCGCACCGACACCTCTCTGCCGCCGTTCTACATCCTCGTGTACGTCGACGACTTGGTCTTTGCCACAGCTGACACTGCTGGACTCGCCTACGTGAAGTCCGAGCTGCAGAAGAGACACACGTGCACTGACCTGGGTGAACTGCGCAGCTACCTTGGCTTGCAGATCACCCGGGACAGAGCACGCCGCACCATTACCCTGACTCAGTCACACATGGTGCAGCAGGTCCTTCAGCGCTTCGGCTTCACGTACTCCTCGCCTCAGGCCACTCCTCTGCCTACTCGCCACTCGCTCTCAGCTCTGCCTTCGGATGAGTCTGTAGAGTCGAGTGGCCCGTTTGCAGAGCTTGTTGGCTGCCTCATGTACCTGATGACCTGCACACGACCTGACCTCGCATACCCTCTTAGCATTCTCGCACGCTTTGTTGCTCCTGGGAGACACCGACCAGAGCATATGGCTGCAGCGAAGAGGGTGTTGCGCTACTTGTGCAGTACGTCGGGCATGGGGCTAGTGCTTGGAGGGCGCAGTCCAGTGGTCCTCACTGGGCACGCAGACGCTTCTTGGGCTGACGACAAGGCTACGCAGCGGTCGTCACAGGGTTACACCTTCAGCCTTGGTTCCGGCTCTGTCTCGTGGCGGGCTACCCGCTCGTCTTCTGTTCTCGGCTCCAGTTGTGAGGCTGAGATCTACGCTGGGGCTATGGCTGCACAGGAGTTACGCTGGCTCACCTACCTGCTGACCGACCTTGGAGAGCAGCCTCGTTCTCCTCCAGTCCTGTACGTAGACAACAAGGCCATGCTGGCCTTGTGTCGAGAGCAGCGACTGGAGCACAGAACGAAGCACATTGCTCTTCGCTACTTTCTTGCTCGTGAGCTACAGCAGCGTGGACAGCTGCGACTTGCGTACGTGGCCTCTGAGGCCAACACTGCTGATGTCTTCACCAAGGCACTTGCGCCTTGTGATCATCAGCGTTGCTGCACGCAGTTGGGTCTTGTGCCTGTCTTGCCTCACTTGCTCTCCTCTTGACCTTGCTTGTACCTTCGCATATATATACTCTTGCTCTTGTATATCTCTATATATGATCTTGCATGTGAACTGGCCTTGTGGCCTTTGAACTTGTGCTCGGAATGCGTGGTGACTTTGTGATCCACCCTGAGCTTTGCTTTGCTTTGCTTGACTGGTCTTGTGACCCCTTGTTCTCCCCCACTTTGCCTATAAGGGTGTGTCAGAACATATAGCTTACTTGTTTGTGTAGGCTATAGTGGGGTATCCCATAGGGGGTACAACACATTAGGGTTTCCTATTTGTATTCACTTCACTTCATAGTCATCCATTCTCGTTCTTTGTTTTCACACGTGGCATATTCGAGTGGGCGATTTTGGCACTTGATAGGGTGAAAACAAAGCCAATTGCGTGGCGAGGGTTTATGCAACCACCGAGGCCAGAATCGCGCACGGTGGTGCGTTCTTACTGTACCGTACCAGTCAGGGCCTCAGATTTCAGGAATTTTACCCTGAATTCCTGAAGTTTGACCCCCGTTTTTTATCATGACTCTGATGCATCAGCCTTTTTTTTTCAACGACCCTGATGTTTCAGTGTTTTTCAATTTCGAACTCTGATTTTCCAGTGTTTTGTGTTTGAGGACACTGACGAGTCAGTGTTGTATCAGGGTCTATCCTGAAACCGATAACTCCTTGTTTTGGCCCGTCGTCACCGTGCACCGTGCACCAAGGGGATTTCTGGCGAAACATGCTCTGATAGGGCAAATCTCTTGTGTGAGGGGCGAATCTGCTGCAGTGTCAGGGCAAATCTGCTGTGATTGGGCGAATTTGCTGTGCTGCGACAGCGCGTAACGACTGTGCAAGGTCGAATTTGCTGTTAGGGCGAATCTGCTGTGACGAACCAAGTCCGAATCATCAGTCAAGTACACAACCAGAGATCGGAAACAGTTGTTAACAATTGTCCTATTCGATTGGTCAGACAAGATTTCTGACCAATCAGACACGGTTATAGCAAAATTTTGGCCGAATTTGGGAATTGTTAAGTGAGGGCAGTCTGATTCGCTGTGTTATGACAGCATACCAGTTTCAGCAACTATGCTGATCAGTGTTGAAGTTTTAGAAACCCTGATTGATCATCGTTTTATTTCTAACAACCCTGAAAATCAGTGTTTGACACTAGACGACACTGAAAATCAGTGTTACCCTCCTAGAGACACTGAGTGCTCAGGGTACCCAAAAACCAATCTGAGGCCCTGGTACCAGTCACTTCTTGACTGGTTTGGTCACGTATCTGTGCCTTATGTGAGAAGTGTCAGAGGTCCACTGGTGATCCCCGATTGATCCTAGGGAAGGGTTACAGGCACGTTGGCCTGGGGGGTTGTGGGCGCACTGATCCGCTACTTAATAAGCCCTTTTATCCCAATGGTCTAGTGGTTGGGATTCTGACAAGAAGGTGATTTTCACCTATTGGGCCACTTGCAATGGAAGATTCGCCAGCGTGGCGACAGCGAGATTGTGGGAGGGGGGGAATCTTGGCAGATTTTAAGTGAAAGTACACGCGAAATTTCACCTAGGGAGCAATTCTCGCGATATCCTCCCGTAAGGAATCGGACGCGATAACAACTATAATATGAATCTATAAGAAAAGGGGGGTGTTATAGAAAATCACCCCAAAAGGGGGGGTATAGTACAAACGGGGTCGGATATAACACCCACCCCGTATTAGCTACCCGGGGGTGTACAATTACGGGGGTGGTTTTATCCGGGAGAGTACGGGGCAGGGGTTTTTTATCAGAGTAAATTACTCTGTTTCTCTGAAAATCAGAGTGGTTTTTAGGGGGTCACTCTGATGTGTCTGAGTAATTTTTTTGGAGGATAAGTTTTCTCTGATTTGTCAGGGTTCTGATTTTAGCTACTCTGAGAGACCAGTGTATATTTGTGACCGATATACTTTTCTCTGTACAGGGTATAGGTATTTCACCGTGTCACAACCCCTCCCCCCGCCCTTTTCTGCTGCCCCAATTGTTGGAAGATAGGCAAGTTTTATAAACATAACTTAGTAACTAAATCTGGTGATCGCGTAGCACAAAGCTTAATTTGTTTTGGTAGGAGTGCAGAGGGCCTGGGTTCAATACTTGAGAGGACACTCAGAGTTGGAAAAGTAGGTACACTGGGTGTCCAGAGTAGATTTTTCAGAAGTTAAGTTTTCTCTGACAATTCAGAGTAATGCTCACAATGAACCCTGAATTTCAGAGTTATCTAGAAAACAGCTCTGGAAATCCGAGTAGTGAAAATCCAAAAAAAAGCCCTGGTACGGGGTGTTTTAACACTTTTTTCTGAACTTAAATGAAGCGACTGCAGACAGCTGCATTCAGAGTGGGAAAAACAATGCACAACACAATACAAGTTTGCTTGTTGGTTGGAAAAAATGAAACTAATAATGGGGGGATCCAACGTACTTGGAGGTTAATGACAAGGACTTTGCCTGAAGCGGACGCTGCAAGGGATTTGCTGTCTCTATCTGGTGCAGCTGCACTGACTGATGTGACTGCACCGAGGAGGTTGCTATATGATGAGGACGAACAACTGGTAATCCAACGCTGGGAAGTGGCATGGCGTGAATGCCAGGCAAGGTTCCTTAAAGTGTGACTGTACAAGAAAATGTATTGATCTTACTCATACTTCGGCTGAGCCTGCAGCACCTGATCCAGCTGCACCTGAGTTTGAGAATGTGACACAAGCAGGTGTGGCTGTGGCGGTTGTGTGGGTGTGCGTGTGGCAATAGTGGGCGTCACTTTAAAGGTTGAGCTTGCGTGCTCTCCTGGTTGCTGGCTTTCCGTCTCATCCCAAGCACGTTCAACCGTTTCACCCGCTTCATTTCAAGGGCTGACAGCGGGCAGGTGAAGGGGCACACGAATGTGCAGGAGAGAGGGGAGGGAGGGGAGGTGCAAAAGGACAAATAATGTGATGCTTGACAGCACGGCATGGGTCAACACGGGAGCAACAACATTCAGCTTGGGTCAACATGGGAGCATTCAACTTGGGTCAACATGGGAGCATTCAGCTTGGGTCAACAAGGGTCAAACTTCCTCCGCTCCATCTTCAACGCTTTCTTCTTTCCTTCTCCATCCAGCTGGTGACCTGCCCAGCTCACTCTTACCCCCACACACCACCACTCTCCACCACCAGTCTCTTACGCTCACACCCCACGCACAATACCCTCAAGCACACCATCCCCCCCCTCCCTTCCCCCCCCCCTCCCCCCCCCCTCCCCTTCTCACCCTCCCCCCTTCTCCCTCACTTTCACTCACCATCCTCCGCCCCCAGCTGCAGCAATGTCTCGCCTCAAAACTCTCCATTCCCTTCTTCCAGAATGTCTCACCTCAAAACTCCCATTCTCTCCATTTCCTTCTTCCTCGCCTCGCCTCCACTCTGCCTCGCCTCTTCCTCCGCACCCAGCTGCACCGCTCTCTTCTCCGTGCGGACGGCAAACTGCCCAGCCCACTCTCTGCCCATGGCCATTACCACCCTCCCCCTCGTTTTCTCCCCTCCAGGCCCCATCGCGCCCATCCCCTCACTCTCTCTCACCCTCCACCGCCCCCTTCTCCCCTCAAGGCCCCATCCCACTCATCCACCCGCATTTCCTCACCTTCCTCCCCCCCCAGCTACAACGCTCTCTTCTCCGTTTGGGCGGCGAACTGAACAATCCACTCTCTGCCCATGTCACACACAACCCCTCCCTTCCCCCTCACAAACCCCATTCCTTCCCTCTTCTCCCACTCACTCCCCCTCACCTTCCTCCGCCCCCAGCTGCAGCACAGTCTTCTCCGTGTGGGCGGCGAACTGGCTGCGATCCCATGCTGACATGGACAGCAGCGCTGCAGGGCAGGGGGAGGGGGGGGGGGGAAGGCGGAGGAAGTAGGGAAAGGGGGGAAGGGGGCGAGATCGGGGGAGATGGGTCGAATGTTGGTGTGTGTGCGGCGATTCCATGCTGACAGGGACAGGGACACAGGAGCACTGGAAGCTTGATCGGAGGTCACAAAAAAGGGGTCATTTCATGTGACTCAGATGGCAGTACATGCACGTGAGCACGCTATAGTCACACTCGTTTCTTCAGATGCCTCAAAAGCAGGACGGTGCGTCATAAACAAGGTGACTTTTGGATCGACGAAAAAGGGCGGTACATGTAGTGAGTGCGCTATAGTCAGACTCGTCGCAGCTTCTCAGAAACTTTTGCAATTGCATGAACCGAACACGATGAGGGGGATCCGCAAGGACGGATGCTTCCCCGTAGTTCTGCTCCGCCCTTCCGCAATCCCGCCCCTCCGCGTTTCCCCCGCCCACTCCCTCCGCGCTTCCGCTGTCTCCGCCAACTCCGCGCGCATTTTCCGCAGCGGCGTGTAGAACGTCACCTCCGCCATTTCCGCCATCTCCGCCATTTCCGCCTAACTCAGCAGCAGCGGAAGCAGCGCTTCCGCCGCGATCGTCGAGTTCCCCGCGGCGATCGATATTCGAGCCTAGAAATTGCGGGCTCGTCGCGGTGGCCTTTGCGACGCGCATTTTACGGTTCGTCGCCGTTCGTGGCTGCGACAGATGCGACGGCGGCGACGGCTGGGCAATGGCTGCGATGGTGGTAGCGGTGGTGCTACTGCAGGTTGGACTGACGCTCGCGATCAGGCAAATAAAATCATCAGACTGAGTGGCGGAGGTGGCGGGTGGGGGTGGCGGAAGAGACGCTAGTGAGAGCGCTGCGGCGTGGATTAATTTAGATGAAACTGCGGCGGTAATGAGATTTCAGCGACGGGCGCCCGGTCATCTAATTACTAATGCACTGGATTGCCGTGACGTTCAGCGTAGCGCTGTGGAGTAACATGTGCGAGAGAGAACCCAGAAACGTGTGTGAGGAAATGATAGATGGAAGAGAGACAGATGGGTGGGTGTGGTGGGAAGAGTCTCGGATATAGTGTGTTGTCCTAAATCATGTCTCGCGAGCGAAATCCGCACCGCAGCAGCGAACATCGCGCCGTAGCAGCGAAATCAACGCCGTAGGAGCGAAATTCGCGCCGGGGCAGCGAAATCCCCGTCGTAGCAGCAACATCCACGTCTAGGCAGCAAAACCCACGGTGAAGCAGCGACATCCGCGTAGCAGCGAAATCCGCGCCGTAGCAGCGAAATCCGCGCCGTAGCAGCGAAGCCCGCGCCGTAGCGTCCAAGTGCGCGCCGTAGCAGCGAAGTGCGCGCCGTGGCAACGAATTGCGCGCCGTAGCAGCGAAATCCGCACCTTAGCAGCGAAACCCGCGCCGTAGCAGCGAAGTCCGCGCCGTAGCAGCGAAATCCGCCACGCAACAGTGAAACCCGCGCCGTAGCAACGAAATCCGCGCCGCGGCGGAGGGATCAGCGCCCAGGCAGCTATACTCGCGCGTAGGAGCGCCATCGCAGTGAAGCTCGCGCTTAGGCAGCGACTACCGCGTGTAGGGAGGACCACAAAGCGAGACCCGCGCCTAGGTACCAACACCTGCAGGTAGGAGCGTCCAGCGTATAGGGGAGTCTCCGTGCGCCAGCGACGCCCAACACCTTCGACTCACCCGGGCTGCGAGCCTTATATCGAAGGCGGGAGGCGCCCCTCCAGCGCCCCCCGCAAACAGCTTACGCCATGACCAACGATCCAGATCCCCTAGACCGGGGGAGGAAGATCATTGCGAGGATTGGCCACAAGAGACCAAGGGAGGCAGCGCCGAGTATGCAATACCCACAACTCTGTCGCCTCCACCACGAGGATGCACTCTGCCTTTTTGGCAAGCCCAGCAAGCGACAAAGGTATAGACCCCTCTCGACAGAGGGGGGGACAGAGGAACCACCCAAAGACACTCTCGGCGGCTTCGTAGGCAGCAGCGACACCATCTCCAATCGGGACCTGGACGTGACGGACGAGGGCGAGTGCGGTCATGGAGCGCATAGGCAAGGTACCGGTGATGACGCGGCGATGGCTGCATGGGAGGCACACCGCCGGCGACTGCAGGAGTCTCATGATAGGCGGCGGAGGGCCCTAGGAAATCCTTCGGCACGCCCAGCCCTCACAGCTCCGCGCGGGCCTCGCCTGGCCCAAAGGCAGGAACAGAGACGGAGAGCCCGGGCGGAAGGGCAGCAGTGGAGTCCAGCGGGGACACAGCCCTCGAGACAGGAGGGGGGGCAGCAGAACTGGCTGTTGGGGGAGGCCCGGAAGCCACAGGCAAGGGAGCAGCAGATGCGGCCGGCGGGAGGGGAGCAGGAGCTGCCGACGAGAGGGGAGCAGGAGCTGCCGGCGAGAGGGGAGCTGGAGCTGCCGGCGAGAGGGCAGCAAGAGCCGCAGGCAAGAGGGCGGCAGGCGCGGTCGGCAGGCGAGCAGCAGGTACTGCCGGAGGGAGAGCAGCAGGAGCGGCTGGCGGGAGGGCAGCTGGAGCTGCCGGCGGGGGGGGAGCAGGAGCTGCAGGCAAGAGGGCAGCGGGAGGTGCCAGCTGGAGGGCAGCAGGAGGTGCCAACGGGAGGGCAGCAGGAGGTGCCAGCGGGAGGGCAGCAGGAGGCACCAATGAGAGGGCAGCAGGAGGTGCCGGCGAGAGGGCAGCAGAAGGTGCCGGCGAGAGGGCGGTTGGAGGTGCCGGCGAGAGGGCAGCAGGAGCTGCCGGCTGGGGGGCAGCAAGTGGTAGAAGTGGAGATGGCCGAGCTAAAGCCAGAGGTGCAGCAGGACCAATCGGGGAACCGTGCCCGGCCACACGCAGGAGGGCAGCAGGAGCCGCCCGGGGTAGAGCAGCGTGAGCTGCCAAGGGCAGAGCAGCAGGAGCTGCCGGTAAGGGAGCAGCAAGCAAGGGAGCAGCAAGCGGTAGAAGTGGAGATGGCCGAGCTACAGCCAGAGGCACAGCAGGACCAATCGGGAAACCAGGCCTGGCCACAGGCAGGAGGGCAGCAGGGGCCGTCCGGGGGAGAGTAGCTGGAGCTGCCAAGGGAAGAGCGGCAGAAGCCGCCGGGGGTGGGGCAGCTGCCGACAAGGGAGCAGCAAGCGGTGGATGTGGAGATGGCCGAGCTAATGCCAGAGGTGCAGCAGGACCAATCAGGGAGCCAAGTCCGGCTGCAGGCAGGAGAGCAGCAAGAGCTGCCGGGGGAGGAGGGGCAGGAGCTGCCAACAGGAGGGCAGCTCGAGCTGTCGGGGGGAGGGATGCAGGAGCTGTCGGAGGGGGAGCGGCGGGAGCTGCCGGCGCGGGGGCAGCTGGAGGTTGCTAGTGCGGACTCTACAAGCCAAGCGAAGAGAACCCGGGCACGGGGCCGAGGCGGGAGACGACACGCCCGTAAGACGCAAGGGCGAACTGGAAGCGGAGCTGCCGCACAGCAGGCGGAGGGGCAGCCGGGGGCGACCGAGACACCCCCGGGAGCTCCGCGGGTGGGGGGGCAGCCCTGGGTGCCCGGGGCGCCCCAAGGAGAGCAGCAGCCAGGGGAGCTGCCGGGGGTGACCGAAGCACCCCAGGGAGAGCAACAGGCAGGGGGGCAGCCGAGGGTGCCCGGAGCACCAAAGGGAGTGCAGCAGGCAGGGGGGCAGCCGGGGGTGCCCGGGGCACCCCAGGGAGTGCAGCAGGCAGGAGGGCAGCCGAGGGTGCCCGGGGCACCCCAGGGAGTGCAGCAGGCAGGGGGGCAACCGGGGGTGCCCGGGGCACCCCGGGGGGTGCAGCAGGCAGGAGGGCAGCCGAGGGTGCCCGGGGCACCCCAGGGAGTGCAGCAGGCAGGGGGTCAGTCGGGGATGCCCGGAGCACCCCAGGGAGTGCAGCAGGCAGGAGGGCAGCCGGGGGTGCCCGGGGCACCCCAGAGAGTGCAGCAGGCGGGGGGGCAGCCGGGGGTGCCCGGGGCAGGGCTGACGATTCAAGGGCAAATGCCCTTAATGCCCTGAACATTAAGGGCTGGGTTCGGCCCAGCTTCCGAATCTTAAGGGCTGGCTTTGAGGGCAGCCCTTTCCCGCAAAGTGCTGGTTGTAGGCCTAATCCGGATTTCAAGTGCAGATCCCGCGGCTAGCCCCTATCGTCCCATACTAATACCTCCCTCCCTCCCATTCGCTCACCAGTCCCCCCACCTCCTCCCAGCCACTCCCCCTACTTCCTTTTCCCATCCCCGTCAAAACCATCGACATGTTTCGTACCTCAGACTACCTAGCTGGCTCTTAGTAGTTTGCCTAGGATACGGACCCGAAGAGATGGAGGTTCTCCTTAGCGAAAGTGCAGAAAAGTTGGTAGCCCTTATTTCAAGGGCCAGGTTCGCTCTCAGCCCGTAAATTTCAGGGCAACTTTTGGGGCACCTCAGCCTCTCAAGTTCTGGCTCCAAACCAATGGACAGCCCTGGCCCGGGGCACCCCAGGGAGTGCAGCAGGCAGGGGGGCAACCGGGGGTGCCCGGGGCACCCCAGGGAGTGCAGCAGGCAGGGGGTCAGCCGGGGGTGCCCAGAGCACCCCAGGGAGTGCAGCAGGCAGGAGGGCAGCCGAGGGTGCCCGGGGCACCCCAGGGAGTGCAGCAGGCAGGGGGTCAGTCGGGGATGCCCGGAGCACCCCAGGGAGTGCAGCAGGCAGGAGGGCAGCCGGGGGTGCCCGGGGCACCTCAGAGAGTGCAGCAGGCAGGAGGGCAGCTGAGGGTGCCCGGGGCACCCCAGGGAGTGCAGCAGGCAGGGGGGCAACCGGGGGTGCCCGGGGCACCCCAGGGAGTGCAGCAGGCAGGGGGTCAGCCGGGGGCGCCCGGAGCACCCCAGGGAGTGCAGCAGGCAGGAGGGCAGCACGGGGTGCCCGGGGCACCCCAGGGAGTGCAGCAGGCAGGGGGGCAACCGGGGGTGCCCGGGGAACCCCAGGGAGTGCAGCAGGCAAGGGGTCAGCCGGGGGTGCCCGGGGCGCCCCAGGGAGTGCAGCAGACAGGTGGGGAGCCGGGGGTGCCCAGGGCACCCCAGGGAGTGCAGCAGGCAGGAGGGCAGCAGGGGGTGCCCGGAGCACCCCAGGGAGTGCAGCAGGCAGGAGGGCAGCCGAGGGTGCCCGGGGCGCCCCGGGGAGTGCAGCAGGCAGGTGGGCAACCGGGGGTGCCCGAGGCACCTCAGGGAGTGCAACATGCAGGAGGGCAGCTGGGGGTGCCCGGGGCACCCCAGGGAGTGCAGCAGGCAGGGGGGCGACCGGGGGTGCCCGGGGCACCCCAGGGAGTGCAGCAGGCAGGGGGTCAGCCGGGGGTGCCCGGAGCACCCCAGGGAGTGCAGCAGGCAGGAGGGCAGCCGAGGGTGCCCGGGGCACCCCAGGGAGTGCAGCAGGTAGGAGGGCAGCCGAGGATGCCTGGAGCACCCCAGGGAGAGCAGCAGGCTGGGGGGCAGCCGGGGGCGACCGGAGCACCCCAGGGAGAGCAGCAGCTAGGGGGGCAGCCGGGGGTGACCCGAGCACCCCACGGCGAGCAGCAGGTAGGGGAGCAGCCGGGGGTGACCGGAGCACCCCAGGGAGTGCAGCAGGCAAGAGGGCAGTCGATGGTGCCTGGGGAACCCCAGGGAGTGCAGCAAGGAGGAGGGCAGGGAGTGCAGCAGGCAGGAGGGCAGCTGAGGGTGCTCGGAGCACCCCAGGGGGAGCAGCAAGTAGGGGGGCAGCCGGGGGTGACTGGGGCACCCCAGGGAGTGCAGCAGCCAGGGGGGCAGCCGAGGGTGCCCTGGGCACCCCAAGGAGTACAGCAATCAGGGGGGCGATCGATGGACGACCAGGAGCAACAGTTGGAGGAGTGGTGTCGACGTTTGGAGCTGGATACCCCCATGGCGACTGTGGAGGAGTCAGAGGCGGACGAAGCACCTCCCATGCCGCCTTCCCCATGCCCCCGCTTTCCGTGCGACACGTGTTTCCACACTTTCGCTACGCGGGGGGCCGCTGCGAACCACATGAGGGTATGCCGAGCGGCGGAGGCGGAGAGGCGTGCACAGGCTCTCGGCTCGATTCCGTCTCTGGTGGAGACCGACACGCAGGAGCGATCGACGCCGCGGGAATTTGGGGAGGAGGCGTGGGCTGGGGTTACGTCATGGGAATGGGAAACATTTTTCAGCGTGGAGGCGGTTGGAGGGAGGACAGTGCGCCGGATCCCACAGCGGGCCAGGTTGGGGGTTTTAGCCGCGCTCTGTTGCATCCTTAAGCGCTTGAAGAGCCAGCCGGGAGATGAAGCCGCTACCCTCCTACTCTTGGCGTTTCCGCGCCTCTTCCTAGCCATGCCTCCCAAGCCAGGCATAGGTCGGAAGGCGCTGATCACAGAGCGGTTGGGTGCGTTCTGGGAGGGGAGGTGGCGGGAGCTGTTCGATTCTGCCATGGTGGCGGCGCGGCCAGCAGTTCGCCCACTTTCCTACACTTGCTCTGACCAGGACCCGGATGCCATCCGCCTGTCACGGTGCCGATCTCGGTGCAAAGTGGGGGAGTGGAGCCGTGGATTGGCCTGCCTTACAGCAGGGGAGTTGGCTTGACCGTCGGAGGTCATGGTGCAGTCGCTGCGAGAGAAGCACCCGGCTAGCGCTGGCGAGGTACCACAGTGGGTCCGCGATTTCACCATCGATACTGCTCAGCGGCCTTCACTCACGACCGACATCCTCGCCAGAGCTATCCATACAGCCGCTCGAGCTTCAGCAGCAGGGCCATCAGGGTGGGTCACAGAGCATCTGCGCGACACCTTCCTCACTGAACCTTCCTGCCTTTCCCACTTGTTGGAAGTGTTCAACCAATGGGTGGCAGGACAGGTCCCCGAGCGGGCTCGGCCGTGGCTCGCCGCATCCAACCTAGTCGGGCTTTCCAAGCCTAACGGCGACGTCCGGCCAGTGGCGATCGGGGAGGTGCTTCCTCGTATCCTTGCTCGAGCTCTCTGCATCTTGCTCCGCCCTGCAATGGTTTCCTACTTCCTGCCGTGCAACCAGCTAAGAGCGGGCACCAGGGTCAGGGCGGAGATTCTTACTCACTCTTTCCGGTCAGCGCTGGCCACTCACCCCGACTGGTGTGCGCTACAGATAGACGTCGCAAACGCCTTCAATTCGTTTCACCGTCATGTGATGGTCGATGGGCTGCGGGAGTCGCCTTTCCCAGGGATGATCCCATTCTTGCGTGTCTTTTATGGGACACCTAGCGACCTGTACCTCCGAGCAGGCCCTTTCGTACCGAGCCTCGAGTCAGCACGGGGATCGAGGCAGCGGGACCCGCTCGGCCCTTTTCTTTTCGCGTTCACTCAACAGCAGGTGATGGAGCCGGTTACTAGGGAGTTCAAGGACCTGCTTTTCCTCAGCTATGCAGACAATACCTATATTTTGGGGCCAGCGGCTAGGATTCTGGAGGCTTTTGGTGTGAGAATGAGAACGAGGAAGCATCAACTATGAATGAAGTGGGTACATATAGGAAACCCTAAATGGGTTGTACCCCCTATGGGATACCCCACTACAACCTACACAACAGCATAAGCTATAATGTTCTGACACACCCCCATAGGCAAAGTGGGGGAGAACAAGGGGTCACAAGACCAGTCAAGGAAAGCAAAGCAAAGCAAGCTCAGGGTGGATCACAAAGTCACCACACAGTTTGAGCACAAGGTGAAGGCCACAAGGCCAGTTCACAAGCAAGAGTACACACATATATATAAAGCTAGACAAGCAAGAGCAGGTATACATATATGTGAGAGTTAAAGCAAGGTCAACAGGAGAGCAAGTGAGGCAAGACGGGCACAAGACCCAGCTGAGTGCAGAAGCGCTGATGATCACAAAACGCAAGTGCCTTGGTGAAGACATCAGCAGTGTTGGCCTCAGAGGCCATGTACGCCAGCCGCAACTGTCCACGCTGCTGTAGCTCACGAGCAAGGAAGTAGCGGAGAGCAATGTGCTTCGTTCTTTGCTCCACTCGCTGCTCTCGACACAAGGCCAGCATGGCCTTGTTGTCTACGTATAGGAGTGGAGGAGAACGAGGCGGCTCTCCAAGGTCGGTCAGCACGTAGGTGAGCCAGCGAAGCTCCTGTGCAGCCATGGCCCCGGCGTAGATCTCAGCCTCACAACTGGAGCCAAGAACAGAAGACGAGCGAGTAGCCCGCCACAAAACAGAGCCGGAACCAAGGCTGAAGGTGTAACCCTGTGACGACCGCTGCGTAGCCTGGTCGTCAGCCCAAGAAGCGTCCGCGTGCCAAGTAAGGACCACTGGACTCCGCCCTCCAAGCACTAGCCCCATGCCCGACGTACTGCACAAGTAGCGCAACACCCTCTTCGCTGCAGCCATGTGCTCTGATCGGTGTCTCCCAGGAACAACGTAGCGTGTGAGAATGCTAAGAGGGTATGCAAGGTCAGGTTGTGTGCAGGCCATCAGGTACATGAGGCAGCCAACAAGCTCTGGGTACGGGCCACTCGACTACACAGACTCATCTGAAGGCAGAGCTGAGAGCGAGTGGCGAGTAGGCAGAGGAGTGGCCTGAGGCGAGGAGTACGTGAAGCCGAAGCGCTGAAGGACCTGCTGCACCATGTGTGAATGAGTCAGGGTAATGGTGCGGCGTGCTCTGTCCCGGGTGATCTGCAAGCCAAGGTAGCTGCGCAGTTCACCCAGGTCTGTGCACGTGTGTCTCTTCTGCAGCTCCGACTTCACGTAGGCGAGTCCAGCAGTGTCAGCTGTGGCGAAGACTAAGTCGTCGACGTACACGAGGATGTAGAACGGCGGCAGAGAGGTGTCGGTGCGCAGAAATAGCGACGGGTCAGCAGTAGAAGGAGCAAAACCAAGAGCCGCAAGAGTAGTCTTCAGTGTGTCGTGCCACTCGCGTGGCGCCTGGCGGAGACCGTAGACTGGACGCCGGAGACTCCACTGGGTACCAGGAGGGAAAGACCCAGTGAAGCCAGGTGGGCGACGCAGCAAGATCTCCTCGTGCAGGCTGCCCTGCAAGAAAGCTGTGCAGAAGTCGAGTGAGTGCAGCTCGTAGTCACGGTGAGCAGCAACGTGCAGTAGTACCCGAAGAGTGGTCATCTTCGAGGTGGGGGAGAAGGTCTGAAAGTAGTCAACTCCCTGCCGCTGACTGAAGCCACGAGCCACGTAATGCGCCTTGAAGACACGCGGAGAACCCGGCGGCCGCTTCACCCTGAAGATCCACATGCCACTGATGATGTTCGCCCCAGGAGGGGGGACAACGTCAACGTAGGTGCCTGTGGACTTCCAGGAAGCCATCTCTGCATCCATAGCTGCCTGCCACTGAGAGGAGTAGGGACCCTCTATCGCCTCCGCGTAAGAGCGCGGAGTCGGGATGTTAAGTGCATCCGGGTCTCCCACAGGGGTAAGCAGTACGGACACGAGATGAGGTGAAGCAGCAGCCAGACATTGGAAGTCCTCCTGCCTGTCCTCAAGGACGTCCGTGCCAAGGGCACACTCACCCCCGACGGACGGAGGACAGACAGACTCAGACTCAGCGACAAGACTCGCAGCGTAGTCTAAGCGACAGCGAGCAGCAAAGTCGACGAGCTCAGCAACTAGAGCAGACGCAGCAGTAGACTCTAAAGAAGGGTCAGTGACGACAGTAGCAAGGAGACGCGTGATAGTAGGACTGGCAGCACGAAGAGAGTCCGACTCCGGGTCGGGAAGAGCAGGAAGAGAGGACTCAGGAGGAGAAGGCAAAGGGGCACGCAGAGGAGCAGCGGACAGACGCAGAGACATTTGGTGCATACCAGGGACAGGAGGAGGACGCTCACGCGAACTACGACCACTAGCGCGAGCAAGACGGACAGGCGACATAGGGCGAGACGCAGGCTCACGACGCTCAGCAAGACCTCCAGTAGGACTAGTGTTGGGAGAAGGAGCAGGCAAAGGGGAGGTAGGCTGCAGCTGAAACTGTGGCTGGACAGGGTGCGGACACTCTAAGGGAGGAGGAGGACCAGCAGAAGGTGGAAGACCAAGAACCTGCTGCAGGAGTGGAACGAAGTACGGTCGAGGCCGCGTGGCGACGCCAGAAGCAGCAGGGACAGCACCAGTACCCTCAGTAGGAGCACCCGCTCCAGTAGCACCTCCAGCAGCTCCAGAACTTCCAGCAGCACCAGGAGCACCTCCAGCAGGACTGCCAGCGGCAGTCTCAGCGCCAACAGCCGCAGCAGCACGAGCTCCAGTAGAACCCGCAGGCCCAGCAGCTCCAGTACTACCAGTACAAGCACCTCCGGGACCCGCGACCGCAGCACCCTCAGCAGCCGAAGAACCTCCAGCACCAGCAGCACGACGCCAGCGCCGGGCAAACCACTCGCGCAGCTCCTGTGGAGAGTGTGGCTCCCGGCGAGACGAAGCACCCGGAGAACCTCCAAGTGGAGCACCTCCACACGCAGTACCCCCAGGCGTAGCACCCCTACGCTCAGCACCCCCCGGCTCAGTAAGCCCTGGCTCAGCACCCCCAGGCTCAGCATCCCCAGACGTAGTACCCCCAGGCTCAGCACCCCCAAGCTCAACACCCCCAGACGCAGCACCCCCAGGCCCCGCACCCCCAGGTCCAGCAGCCCCAGGCTCAACACCCCCAGCGGCAGCACCCTCAGCAGCACCAGAGTCACCAGTGACCTCGACAGGCTCGACTGCGTCTACGTGGGACACACTTGAAGGGGCAGGACCCTGAGGGGGCAGGGGGTCTACCTGAGGGGGACCTGGTACCAGGAAGAGTGGGGGTGGGGGGAGGGACGGAGTGCGGTAGGGGAAGAGGCGGTAGTAGGGGACCGACTCGTCAAACGTCACGTCGTGGGAGGACAGAATACGGCGAGAGGTGGGGTGGTAGAACTGCCACCCAAGGGTGTCAGGGGGGAACCCCAAGAAGACGCAAGGAGCAGCACGAGGGGACAGCTTGTCCACAGACAAGTCGCGGACAAACGCCCGAGATCCCCAGACCCGGAACGCCGACGCATCGCCAACCTTCCCCGTCCACAGCAGGGCTGGTGAGGTCTCCGGCCTGGAGACCCTGGGGTGGAGGTTGAGCTGATGCGCCGCGTACCTGACCGCCAACGGCCACAGAAAATGGGGGTTAGCCGCATGCATCATAGACGTACGAGCGACGTCTATGACCGTGCCAATACGGCGCTTAGCAATCCCATTTTGCTGCGGTGAGTCCGGAAGCGTGAAGGTCTGACGGATGCCTCGTGCACGACTGAAGGCTCGCAGAAGGCTAGAGGAGAACTCTCCGCCTCTGTCCGAGTGCAGATGCAAAACAGGGAAGTCCGAGCCAAAGCGCTGCCTAAGCTGAAGACGAGCTGCGCGGATCCAGTCGATCAACACCTCAGTGACATCACCCTTGCTGCGCAAGGGGAAGACTGTGGTGTAACGCGAGTAGTCGTCAACAACAAGCAGAAAGTAGCGCTCGTGACCCTATCCACGGACGCGGGCTGGGCCCCACATGTCCATGTGAAGCGTCTGCAACGGGGCCTTTGTTGGAGGAAACTGGGAGGAGTGGGGGGCAGCCCGCTGGCGCCCCTCGACACAGGGGACACAGGCAGGGACAGGGCCCTGAGGAAGGGGAGGGAGGGTCTAAGGGAGACCAGACACAAGAAGACGGGAGGCCATGCCTTTCAGCCGAAGCAGAGAGGGGTGGCCAAGGCGGTGGTGCCAGAGGAGAGTCTCGTGAGACAGGAGACGACACGAACAGGGGGCAGACTCAGGACCAGACCTGGACGCCGCACCAAACACCTGACCCGACGCAGCTACCCTACCAGACTCAGCAACTGGAGAGGACGAAGTGGTCAGTGTGTACAGGCTCGACCCCGGCCGACGGGTAAACGTAGCCAGGTGCCGGCCTGTGCTAGCCTTAGTATTGTGCGTCACCCGCTGACGCGCAGGAGTGAACTGGTGTACTCCCCCATCGTGTAGGTCAGCACCACTCACCAGGTTTGTCGAGAACGAGGAGAGGTAGAGACCAGACAGGGTGCCAGAGGGAGCCGCCGGACAAGGGAGGACTGTGGAGAAGCGAGACAGGACAGGCTCCCCAGAGGGGTCAGCCAGAGACACCGCAACCGGCCGACTAAGCGGCGTGAGTGTGGTGCGGTCTCGAAAGAAGGAGCGAGACGCCCCAGAGTCAAGGGTGAAGGTGAGGGAGGCCAAAGCCGACGTAGTACCTGAGAGCGCAGACTCACCAGTACCTCAGGACGCAGACACACCAGCACCTAGAGCAGCAGCGTCGCACGCACCTAGGGCAGCAGCCGTACCAGTACCTAGAGTAGCAGTCTCAATGCCCGGATCGGGCGGGAAACACCGGTAACAGTCACCCTCATCACTAATAGACACAGCATACATGGCAGAAAGAAAAGCATCAAAGTCAAGATCAAAGATGGCCACACCCGCCCTAGACAGCTCGCCCCAGCGAGGGATCTCTGAGGCCTCCAGGAACTGGTGACGCCACGCGTCCGTCAGGCGGCCAAAGCAGCGCTGGGTGGGGTGCGCACCCCCACACTGCTCACCCGCACGGTCGCCGGTGCGCAGGACGTAGGTGCACGGACCAAAACCCCCACCCCGCTGGCGTGCGGTGTACCACTCACGGAGCTGCTGAGGTGACAGGGTCTCACGACCGTGCTGCTGCTGCTGGCGCGAGCCACCACTGGAGCCACTCCTCTGCGACGACCCGCGACCAGCTCCACCGCCACCCCCACCGCCTCCGCCTCCTCCGCTGCCTCCACCACTGCCGCCGCCTCCGCCGCCGCCTCCACCGCCGCCTCCTCCGCCACCTCCGCTCCCACCGCCACCGCCGCCGCCGCCTCCGCCTCCACTGCCGCCACCGACCCCTCCACCCCCACCTTTCCTCCCACCGCCACCCCCACTCCCCCCATCGCCTCCACCTCCACCTCCACCGCCCGCTCCTCCAGCTCCCTTGCCCCCCTTGCCCTTGCCAGGGCGGCGTCTCCCACTAGGGGCAGACGCCGCGCCGATCGACTCAAGACCAAGGATGTCGGCCGCAGCAGCAGAGGCAACAGAGGGCAGCAGGGGGGAGGGAGAACACCCCTCAAAGATGGGGGTGCGCGGGTCACCTCGAGAGGCTCCTACAGCGACGATGCTCTTCTCTATCGCTAGGAGGGCCTTTTCAAGGAGGTCTACGATGAGCGTGGTGGGACAGACTGAGAGAAAGTGGTCCCTGACTACGCGAAGGGAGTCAGGGAGGCGAGTGACTAGGAAGTACAGAGTGATGTACATGGGGGGGGGGGGTTCGCGGCGCAGAAGTCAGCAGGGAGTGCAGGGCGGTAGCGAGTGTCACTAGTGTGGAGGTGCATGATGAGGTTAGCTACGGTGGGAAAAGCAGCAAGGTCAGGGAAGAGGTACGGCAGCATGAGACGGCTCAGTGCAGCAGTGGCAGGGGAGGAGTAGTGCGCGATTACAGCGTCGTACAAGGTCTGAGCACTCTTGTACTGGCTAAAGTGCACACGCTCGGAGGTAGGGAGGTGGCGATGCACAGCAAGACGTGCAGCAGTGTCGCGCGTGGCCTACTGGGAGCGAACAGTGGCGTCAGCATTAGTAGCAGGGGCAGGGGAAGCGCCAGAGGTAAGGTCAAAGAGAGAGAGGCCGTCTGCCCTATCGCACTGTAGGAACAGCTGCAGGTCATCGACCCAGACCTCAAAGTCGACGGCTCGTCCCTCAGCGTCAAACGTGAGGACACTAGGGGTAGCCATGACTATAGATGACGAGCAGTGTAAACAGTAGGGGAGGGAAGGCCGTGCAGGGGGAGAAGGCACTGTGCTCACCAGATAGGGCAGCTCTGACGGTCCAGCTGTTGGGCGGCTCGGTGGCAGAGCGGCTCGGCGGCAGGGCGGCAGGGCGGCTCGGCTTCCGAGCGGCTCGGCGGCAGGGCGGCTCGGCGGCAGGGCGGCTCGGCGGCGCTCTCGTGTAGGTATGGCGGCGGGTGAGCCGCAGTTAGGGCGGCGGGTGCGCCGCAGGTAGGTTGGCGGGTGGCCGCAGGTAGGGCGGCGGGTGCGCCACAGGTAGGTTGGCGGGTGGCCGCAGGTAGGGCGGCGGGTGCGCCACAGGTAGGTCGGCGGGTGGCCGCAGTTAGGGCGGCGGGCAGGGCCGCAGGTAGGTCGGCGGAGGGCCGTAGGTAAGGGCGGCAATGGGCCGTAGGTAAGGGCGACGACGGGCCGTAGGTAGGGCGGCGACAGGCCGTAGGTAAGGGCGGCGACGAGCCAGTGCAAGGGCGGCGCGAAGCCGCGAGTAAGGGCGGCGACGGGCCGGGGCGGCGCGAAGCCGCAGGTAAGGGCGGCGACAGGCCGGGGCGGCTCGAAGCCGCAGGTAGAGGCGGCGCAAAGCCGCGGGAAGGGCGGCGACGGGCCTGGGCGACGCGAGGCCGCAGGTAGGGGCGGCGCGAAGCCGTCGGTGAGGGCGGCGCAAAGCCGCGGGTAAGGGCGGCGACGGGCCGGGAAAAAGGCGGCGCGCCGCATTCGCTAGGGCGGTTCGACGCGACCGTAAGGGCGGCGCGACGGGCCGCTAGGTGCGACTCGACGGGCCGCTAAAAAAAAAAAGCAGGCGCGACTCGAGGCGCGACTCGAGGCGCGCTTCGGTGGGCCCAAGGAACAGTCCCTAGGAGGGGACCTGCTCAGATTCCATGTGAGAATGAGAACGAGGATGCATCAACTATGAATGAAGTGGGTACATATAGGAAACCCTAAATGGGTTGTACCCCCTATAGGATACCCCACTATAGCCTACACAACAGCATAAGCTATAATGTTCTGACATTTGGGGTGCTTCGGGAGCGGTTGGATTGGGTGGGGCTGGAGGTGCAGGTGCACAAGTGCCGGTTTTGGGAGCGCGAGGGCAAGGAGGTGGAGCGGGCACTGCCATTGGGGATGCAGCGGGTGGATGAGGGTCTTACTGTGGTGGGCGTGCCTATTGGAGAGGAGGTTTGGGAGGTGGTCCGGCTACGGGAGCGGCTTCGACAGTTGCAGGCGCCACTGCCATGGCTTTTTTTGCTCGACCACCCCCAGATGGCTTCACACCTCCTCGCCATTGCAGTTTCAGCGCGGCCGATGTACCTCGCCCGGACTATGCCGCCGCGTCCGGAGGTAGTTGAGGCTTTTAGGGATTGGGACAGCTGTTTAGAGGATTGCTTTGAGCAGCTTTTTCCACCTGGCACTTGGGAGCAGGACCCCGACCGGTCTAGGCGCGCACGCATACAGCTGCATCTCCCTGTGCGTCTCGGAGGGTTCGGGATCCGGGCGGCGGCCTCTTTGAGCCCACTGTCCTATGTTTGTGGGTGGGCGCAGGCCGCGCGTGACATTGCACAGTTAGGGGTGGCGGGTGAGGAGGCGATGTTTGCAGAGTACCTCACCACTTCGACAGGGGCACAGTTTCTTGACCCGTGGTTTGTTAAGGCTCTTGAGCAGCTGCCAGCGACTATCCGCCACGAGATACCGGGCTTACCTCTGTGTGTAGCGGCCCCTCCTGTTCGGCTTTTCCAGGCGCGACAGCCGCAGTTAGCTGTAGAGGAGCTCCAGGCACTGTGCCGCTTGGCTCGTGACAATGCCACCTTGGCCCGTTTGACATCCCTTTAGGGCCTGGGGGCAGGTGCATGGGTTTTGGCGGTTCCGGCTCACTCAAATCTCACATTCGCTGCGGCTGAGTGGGGCATTGCTGCTGCTATACGGCTCGGCCTCCCAATCCAGCAGCTGCAGGTGGCGGGGAGGTGTGTTTGTGGCACAGCGTTTGTTGACCCAGCAGATCCGCACCATGCCCTGAGATGCAGGCATCAGCATGGTCCTTCTCGGGTGCATGATGAGGTGAAGTTTGCGGTGGCGAAGATCTCTAAGGCGTCGGGGGGGGTGGTGACAATGGAGGATAGTGTGGTGCTGCATGGGAAGCGGGTTGATGTGGCGGTGCAACGTCCAATGGCTGGAGAGGCTCACGCCCTAGAGATCAGCGTCGCGGACCCGCTATCGCTGTCTCCATCACTGCTGGGACAGTGCGGGCGTCAAATAGGTGTGGCAGCAAGGGAGTGGGAGCGCCGCAAAACTAGTGACTACGCGCCTCTGCTTGCACGCAACCGGGGCGTGCAGTTCACCCCTTTGATAGTTGAGAGGTGGGGGTGTCTCGGCGGTCGTTTTCAGCGGTGGCTTCGTCAGTAGGGGGATGCGCACGTGGGACTAGCTGTGTCGCGGGGGGCTTGTCGAGAGGACGACTCTTTGTTTTCGGCTTATCTGTTAGGGTCACTGAAGGCGCTCATCGGGGTGGCGTTACAACGGGCGCAAGCCCGTGTCATCCTGCTTCGAGCAGCGTCTTCCATTGGGGGGATTAACGTAGATTTGGTGGATCGGGAGAGGGACGATGTCGATGTGGAAGGCGGGGCTCTCTAGGTGGAGGCCCCGTAAATGGTCGATACGTTGATGTGATTGAAGGGGGGGGGGGGGGGGGGGGATGGGGTGTGGGATGGGATGTCTTGATGGGGTGTCTTGACTGGGCGTTTTGATTGGGTATCTTGAGTGGGGGTTTTATGTGTGCTACATTTGGGTTCTTTTTTGCAGTTTCATCTTCCAACTTCCTTAGCCAACTAGTCTACATCGCATGATTTTCCTTCAGCATCAACCCTGTGACTCTGTGATGTCACCGAACGATCACATGAATAAGTTGCATGGATAGAATCTAACCGTCGCATGATTCGAGGAAATAAAAAATAAAAAAAATCATGTCTCCGTATCTCATTGTAACATCTGCTTTCTCGGAGCAAATCTCCAGAAAGAGTTGGAAGAGATATAATGCTCGTCATAAATCATGCTCCATTGAGAACATGGAGTAACCTTGGTACAAAAATTAGTTCCTAAACAATGTATATGTCAAAGCTATTGACCTCAACCCCACAGTCTCCAACAGGGGTGGTTAATCGATTATTCGCGCCTCGTAGAAACACACACTTCTGGAGGCGTCGCACCGTGACATCACATCATCATGTACTGGTCAACTCATCTATGAAGCTTCACAGAAACGCGTATACGCCTCATTCCAATGCACACGTGGTAGTCAGTCCTCTGTCATTGACATGGATCAGCAAGCAGCAGCAGCGCGCTGCTCTGCACCAGCACCAACAGCCGCATCGGCGCCAGCATGGCCCGCAGAAGTCGCTGCGTCATTGGAAACCGCAACGTGGTTCGCGCTCGCCTCCGCTTCGCTACCAACCACGGATTGCCTTACACCGCGGATGCCGTACAGGTGCAGCAGCACCCACGGGTGACTCAGCACCTTCACCGCCGTCGGGCGCCGCCTCGGATCGCTCTGGAGCATGCAGCGAATCAGACTGCGCGCCTCGGCCGACACCCCCGCCCACGCAGGCCCCGAAAAGTCCAGTTTCCCGCGCAGAATCGCATCGTAGACCGCGGCATCAGTTTTACCCCAGAACGGAGGCCGGCTGCAGAGAATAATGTAGAGAATCACGCCTAGAGACCACACGTCGGCTGCGTATTCGTACTCGCCAGTGAGTACCTCGGGCGCCATGTAAATAGGCGAACCCGCTGTACCGTAACCCATGCGCCCGTTATCTAGAGCGATCGAAAGGCCGAAATCTGCGAGCTTCGCTGTCAGACCGCGGGATTCTAGCAACTGGGGCGCGGCGAGAGCGGGAATTGCGGCGGGAGAAGCAGGTACGGCGCCGGATGGGGCTGATCTGTGAAGGAGAATGTTCTCGGGTTTAAGATCGCGATGCAGAACGCCGCGCGAGTGGCAAAAAGCGACACCGGAGGCCAGTTGCCGGAAAATCAGCGCCGCATCGCGCTCCGACAGTCTCCCGAGTCGCACAACTTCGTCAAATAACTCGCCGCCTTCGCATAGATCCATCACTACATCGCGAAAAAGGAAAACTGCGTTTTTTGGCCCCCGAAGGTTTTTCTGCCTCTGCCTTGCGTGAATGTTGCGGAAAGCTGCGGTAAAACAACGCACGCAAATCGCAACATTCTGAACACCGGAAACGCGCGCGTACATCAGACACAAAAAACTGACATTACAGTTTCCTTGTCGCAAAGCTATCGAATTCCCGGAGCGCACACCTACACCCCGAGTCGCGAACGTGTGCACAAATTTCCCGATGAAATTCCCGCGTTATGGTGACCGCGGTGCGTCCATTGTGTCAACTTATAACATCGGACCGTAAACGAAGTTCACGCGTACCGTCAAATGTCTCACAAGGTTCCCCAACTCATCCATTTTCATTAAAATCCTCCAAGCACTATTACAACAGCAATACAACCCCAACCCCGTCATCCACAGGCGTACGGTACCGCACACACACAACGCCAACTACGCACACCACGCACAACGCACACACCGCACAACTTCAACCAACTGCATCACTCGTCGTCCTCGTCCTTGCGCTCCGAAGGGCCTGCCATGTCCTCCGTGCGCAGCCCCGCTCGCGCACGCTTAACTGGCGTCCTGCCGAGGCGGGAAATCACCTCCTGGTTAGATGCGCCGACCTCTGCTGGCACGAGGGCCGGGGGAATGCCGAGCTCATCGGCACGCTCCACGTACGCGTTTGTGACGTTGCGAATGACGCGCCGCCTGCTGCGCTCGTCCCGCAGCAGCGGGCCGTCTGGCAGGCTCATCTCGCCCGACGAGTCATCCGACGCGCTTGCAGCAGGTGTGGCAACGAACCCCTGCTCCACGCAGAGCCCCGCGTCGCAGTTGACGAACTCCGCCGCCGTCATGTAGCACGCAGGCCTCATCTTAAACTTCTCGATGAGCAACTGCAGCTCGACGCAAGTCGCAATGAGCGGCTCAAACATGCCCGTCGCGCTGGTGTCGTTCAGGTACGCCATCAGCGGCGGCCAGCTCGGCGGCACGCATCCGGCGCGCCACCAGCTCCTCTGCATGGTTGCAGCGCGCACACGGGTCCACGATTCCCCCAGCCACTCCAGCATGAGTCCGTAGTCCACGTCGGCGATAGAAGCGGCATAGTCGAACTGGAACCGCTTCGCCGCGATCGCCCGCTTCATCAGCATAACGCGGTAATGGGCCTTCAGCGCGTCCTCCACTCCCTGCAGGTGCGGAAGGCCCCCTTCGGGAACCGAGCCACGTATGTTGACGACACGGGTGTTGGTGAGGTGCTGCACACTGAAGCCGTGCTCCGAGACGGGGCGCGCGACCTCGTCGGTGATGCGATGCGCCTCGTGTATGGTTAGGATGAGTGTGTTGCGATCACGACTAAAGTGCACACCGTTGATAGTCTCCACAAACTCCGTGAACACCTGCGAGCATAGCATCCTACACCGACAGCACAACACCATCAGTGTGTCGGCCCACACATGTACGTTGCAAACATGACACAGACATGGTGCACAGCGAGGTGTAATTGTCACCTACCTCCGGAGTCAACCGGCCGCGGTGCGTATATCGGACTGCCACCATGCGCGATGCCGCGCGCCCCCGCCTGCGCTCGGGCCTATCGTACGGCGATAGGACCACCAGTGGCACCGCGGAACAACTGCCCGTCGCGTTGTAAAGAATGCCGATGCTGACAATCCGCTCGCAAACATTACGCTTGTCTGGAATGTATGTCTTCGGGAGGCGGCTCGGAAGAAAATTAATCTCGTGGAAGCAGAACACATCGTCCGGGTGCGTAGTAGCCAGCAGTCCCTTCAGGTCACCCATTGAAGCTGTGTGTCACCCAGGTGGGCAAGTATGCGTTGGGGGATGGCACCCAGTCTTGCTATATACGTTGTAGTTCACTGGAACGTACCCCGGTTTGCCCTCGTACGCACACTACGTACGAGGGTTGACAAGCGCCACACAAGTTTGCGAGCACAACTCCTGCGCCGCTCCAAGATAACGGACACATGTGAAACGGCCACCTGTGACATTCAGATAGGCAACCTCGCGAATCGAAGCCACGTACGCGTCACCCGTATCCGACCAACCAACGGCGGGTGTTCGGTCGGTCACACCACCACACATTGAAGCGCGTCAACTTCGACCGCACAAGCGTCAACCGTACCAAGACCCGTTATAGGCCGGGTTTACTGACCGCTACCACTATAATCTCACTGTTTAAACACCAACATATACGTTTCGGGTTTAGGGTTGCCACCGCGTACCCATGCACAAAATGCCAATGTACACCCACGGACACCATATCACATTTATTCATCACAATATGTGGCGACACATCAGCGTCAACACTAACCTGAACCACCCAAAGTATAAACATCCCACCACAGTTGACTACACTCCCTGCAATCCTGTACCCATCATTCCTAAGTTCCACCATACCAACACGTGCCGTCACTCACATAGCAAAAACCTGTTAACTAATTGCACCTTGTTGTTGCTGTACGACGGGCACACGTGCACAACTCTCTGCAGGCTGCCCAGCTCCACCACCGAATACCTCACCTTCTCCACTTTCTTGTGCAGCTGCGTGCACCCTGTAAGCTTGCAGCTTCCCGCCCTCTCGTAGTACCTCACGTATGCGTATCCCTTCCACTCCCCATCACGGTCAAGCGCCCTGAAGATGCACAGACATCTTGCATACCAGTCCCCCTTCTTGTTGTTCAGAAGTGCCACGTTCGAGTACCACCTCTCTCGTGGAGATGCCTTCACAAACGTCCCTTTGGCCACCAGCTCGCCGCCTCTTGTGCGCGGAATGGCCACCGCGGTGTGGACCTGTCACGCGGTTGTGTACAATCCAACATCTCTTAGCATCATCAGTGCAGTGGCAACCAACGTGCAAGCCCGCTAAGACGAGATGTATGTGCGACAGCATTATCACCACACCTGCACGTTGTTGGTAGCCAGGTCCAACGCCTTAAACTCCGCGGCCATCCCCTTCATCTCGTCTCCAAGCGCGGCTGTGTACTCATCGTACACCGGATCCGACGCCCCGCCTATGCGCATGATCCGATACTTCTTTGTAAGCACCGGTTTCCTCGTCTTGATTGCCTGCACGTGTACAACCACGTTCCCACAACAAGCCGCAACCTGCCTCAGGCTCCGCTCGTACATGGGCACCCGTGCAACATTACACATTGAATGGCCATCGTAGCACCAACCACTCCCCTACGCACCTCGCGCAATGCAGACGCATACTGCCGCCCACCGCCGGCGTCTGCAGCCACCTCACGGTACACCTCTCTCTGCACCTCCTCCTCCACGATTCGGCGCGGAATGTCGCTCCAGTTGCTCCCTCTAACTGGACCCTTGACCGTGCCCTTGTGCGTGCGCTCCCACATCTCAGTGGAATAATGGTGCGGCATCCCGCGCTCCACCACGTTGTCCAGTAAATGTCTTATCATGTGTATCTTTGGTAGTCTCCAGTGGGATGCCTGCTTTGGAAATGCTCTCGGGAGCAACGCCACCAACCTGCCACATCGTCCACGATGGCAGGCAACAGTCAATGCACACTCGTGTGCCACCCGACGGCCGCCACAACAAACCCACCGCATCGCTCGATGCACCTAATGCACACACTTACGCTATCGCATGCTGCCGTGCAATCGCAATGGTGGTATGTGTGTGCCGGTCCACACCCAGAAACGCCTTGTAAAACACAGCAAACAGCCTGAACGCTTTGACCTGCAACGCGCGCAGCTCTCCCGGTTCATCACCCTTCAACGCGCTCTCGTCAGCCACCAAGATCGGCATTATCTGCATCATGCTCCTGTGCTCGAACGCAGCGTAGTTTGCGCCGGAACTGAAGAACGATGAGCCCCCTGGGATTCGGAGGAGCACGCTAGGCGTGATGGCCTTAAACTCCTTCTTGCGTCTGCGCACACCAAGTATTCGACGTGCCCATCAGCGCTGCACACATGGTGTACTACAACCCAAATGACCCCACCAGGATATGACATGCAGGCTACAGTCTGCTCACCGTTCAAGCGTCCGCATCTCAACCTTCCCAAGCGGTTCGATGTAGGTGTCCATCATGTGGATCAGCACACCGGAGTCCAGAACATGCAGTGTGTCTGCAAGGCATGCCAGATACACGTTGCCCCACTCTGTGTCCGCGAAATTCCACCTGTGAAGTACGCACTGCAATGTCCAACCAAAGACACGACCGCGTCATTAGGTTCCACCGTACACTACAGGCACGCAAACGCCCTCAGGGTTTAGCCCACCTCGATCGGATGTGTTGACCATAGCCTCCGCACGGCGTCAGCGTCGCCCTTCTTCTTACACGCCAGGATCTGGCGGACAATGTCCCTCTGCATCTCGGGGGTACGCGGATCGGCCTTCCCCACCATCATGGTCAACTCCCCCTTGTCTGCATAGCAGTTAGCGCACGGCCGGTGCGTCCCCTGCTGAAGAGTCGCAGAAGCTCTGCTGGTCTCCGGAAAGTCGGCAGGGTATCCGTACAGGCAAGGGACCGCTTTGTGCACCTTCCCGTCCGCGTCCGTGCAGTAGAAGAAGCGAACTGGCCCGCTGCACATTGTGACGATGCACACGTGGCCGTGAGTTAGGTTAGGAACGTACACACAATACGCGGTCATAACACGGGGCAATATCTGCTGGGGTCCCCACTGGCCTGCTGCTCGTGTAGCATATGCACCTCAGTACCTTGCAGATTCTCGCATGATGGGCGCGAGGATGATCTTCAATGCCTCCTGGAAAACCCGCGTCTTCTCCGTGGGCGATGCCCATTCGGGTGGGAATGGCAGCACCGCCGCCAACGTGTGCCCAGGCTCCACCCCACGTAATTCCGCTGGTATGTTGATAAGCGAGATCAGCACCGGCCACGCGTTCCTCCGACCATTCCGTGATGCCTGGGTGCTATCACTGTATATCAGCACGCCTAGTATGAGTGCCTCACTGTCATTAATCTCCTTCTGCCATGCCAACCATACATGCCCTTGCACAAATGTTAGACTCCGTCTTATAGCATTCTGGGACTCACATGTAATGTGGACTGGCCTACCGATGCACTTACCTGAGCAGCGTGCATCCAATCGCCCGTCTCCGGCCCCTCGAATACCCTCTCGCCATTCTTCTTCCGATGAATCTTCTTAGGTTTCCACACGAACCCTTTCTTGGATGAGAACGTCCGCACCAGCTTCTTCAGAATCTGCGCGCATCGGGATATAATCAGGAGTGAGCGGCAAGATTCCTTCCCAGTGACGACGACGGGGGATGCGGGTGTGGCCGCCGTTTACGAACCAGCTCTGTGTCGCGGTAGTGCAGTAGCAGCTTCATTTGCATTCCTTTGGGGCCCCGCACCACTATCTCCTCCGTTTTCCACGGGACCATGTCTGGTGGAGCGCGCGCCATTCCCCATCGGCGCACGTCCACCCAGTTGCGCCATCGTCGGAGGGCCCGTAAGTTGAAGCGCGGGTTGCGGAAAATGTGTAACAGACGGTTAACTTCCCGGTGCGAAAGATCGGCGTCACGGAAGAATAGATACAACTCGGTCAGTGTGTCGAAAATCTCCGCCCTCTCGCTGTGTTCCGATGACTCCGCATTCTCGCCGTCAGCTGGTGTATCCGCGACGCTAACGAGGCTAACTTCGGGAATAGAGGCGGTCGGAGCAACCGATACAACACTGCCGTCATTATCCTTAAGCCGCGATGCGGGCGGTGTGTTTGGTCTACTCTCTCCGTCACGGGCAATTGCTTCCAAATATGCCGCCAACAAAAGACTCTCCCGTTTCCTCTTCAACTCTGCGCGACAAATTGCACCGTTAGCGACATGTGACTGTAACCGGCTGTCGTCCTTAAACACCGTCTCGCACACCATGCAACTGTTCCCCGTCATCCTGCAACCTTGAAACCCTAGAGACCGTGGCGATAGAAACTCGGACTGGCCACAGGTGTGCTCTAACACAACTCAGAGGATCAACATGGTGCACACTCATGTGCACAGAACCTTGAAAAGTGTGCACATACCATCTGTTCGATTGTCACCGGTAAACATTATACACCCAACCATAATGCACAACCATATTATAATTGCAGAATGTGTAACGGTGGTCCGGTAAATAACACTCCCCGGAATTATCAGCGCGGTCATTAGTACGACCAGAAATAGAAATAGCCAATAACTGACGTTGTGGGATTGTACACAGTTGGCTCCATAAGACGTTGTGTCTTATTTCTTATGTAAGTAATATACCCGTTATGCATATTGCAATATTGTTTACGACAACCTACAAATTTCACTTCCGCTTTTAAGAGTACACGACTACATCGTGTACAACCCATACTTAGTGCGCGCTGGTGGCCCAACAACCCAAGTGCTGACGTCCGCGTACGCCGTTATCGGATTCCGCGTCACTTGGATTGTACCGGAAAACCAAATGGTGTTCCATGCACCAGAATTGCTGACCCACCCTAAATCTCGCATCCTCGTGTTCCGAACCCCTTGGTTTACAACACGTGGATATGCATGCTGCCTCACCATCACATCCAGTCTCGTTATCGAGTCACAGGTGGACATCGCATGCGCATCTCATCCAACGGTGTATACCATTTCGCCTATGCATGCCCAACACCCACCAGGTTATAGGCGACATCTTGGCCCACCCGTCAATCAGAGTACTTCCCTCCAGGCGAGATCCGTGAGTGGCTGTGTTCTCCCAGTCATCCCCTCCGTGCTCACCTCGTATTAAGGCCGGCCTCCTCCGCATGGTATTCAGTGTCCGTTCTTGATGGCGATTCCTAAACAGTCTGTCTCTAAGCGCAACCGGTTCCATGAACCGGAGACTAGCAGCAGCGGCGATGACCAAGATCCTGACCCGTCTGTTCCCAGAACCAGAGCGTCGACCAAGGGCGACAAAAAATCACCTCCGTGTCCGCCGACAAAGGACGGCGGAAGGGCTTCTAGGTTCGCGACCCATGTCGTGGAAAAGGCGACAGAGCCGGTGCCGGACGATGTCGTGGCCGCTATCGCCCGGAACTATGCGAAATCATCTTACCGCAACATCAGGCTCATGAATCACCGCGGTGTCGGATGTGAGGTGGACAAGGACGACTTCATGTCGATCGAGGACGAACAGTGGATCACCGATGGCGTGGTGGACTTTCACAACGTGTAAGTACCGTGCTGACCGCCCCGCACATGCGCGCGCTTTTGTACGATTTTCTGCGAATTCACTGTAGCACGGTGTGTTAACTTGTTCGTGTTCACCTCTGCGCAGGCTGCTTAGCATCAGGAAGCCGTCGCTCCGCGACGGCAAGACATGGGCCGCCATGGACTGCAAGGCCTATTCACAGACGACAGCTGCGCATGGAGTGCCGTTAACGCTGGGGAGTGGGCGGCCGCTTTTGGAACACGATTATCTTGCGATCCCGGTCCTAGAGTCGTGAGTGTACTCATCTTACCAGTGTTCCCGGTTGGTTTCCGTGATGTGCAACCGACTGCTGTTTAACACCGATCCCGTTTCACCCCAATCTTCTTGCGCGCAGTGAGCACTATTCCCTCGTCATCGCTATAAACCCATCGGTGCTCACCAAGACGCAGAGAACCAAGGGCAAGGAGCGCCTGACTTTGGTCTTGCTGGACAGCGCGATCAAGAATCGAAATAGCCACAAGATTTTCGCAGGCACGAAGCTGTGAGTAGGGGTTTCGGCATAACTAAGCGCATAGCATATACGTCCATGCTCAATTTTGTTAATACCGGACGAACTCTTGTATGCAGGTTGCTGTCCGAACTCGCAAAGGCGAGTAACCCAAACGCTAACATGGAGGTTGTGGACAGGACGCTGAGCGCGGCGGACTGCGTAATTCTACGGGTGAGTACGCCTCGTTCGTTCTGTACACAGCTGTGCTGGTTGCATACACAGGTGTGCATACTGATAACTTCGGTATTCGTTACCCTTATGACAGGAGGATAAGCTGCCACAGCAGCCGAACAAGGAGGACTGTGGGATTTTTGTTTGTCAGTACCTCAAGACCCTGGTGCATACCGACTTCGCCACGGTGTTTTCGGGCCTCTGGTTCCAGGGTGTGACACCGCACCAATACAGGCGGGAGATGCGCCGAGACTTGTGTGCACACGCTGGCGGAGAGCTTCTGAAACAACTACAGGAACTGGGGATTGAAGTCCCGCCGCAAGACGAAGGCCTGGTTACCGCAGAGGGGACAGTGGTGCAGGTGAGAAACACTGCGGAGGGAGATGGGAGGCAAGCGCCAAACACTCGCCATGATGAGGACGCTCGGTTTACGGAGATGACGAGGCGCATAGCATCGCTGCATAACGATGTGAGGTACCTGGACGCCAGCTTCACCGTGATCGCCAACTTCGTGGGCCTGAGCCGGGACGAGGTGGTGTCCGCTGCAACCCAACTGCTGCTGCATGGAGGGGTCGCGGGGAACGGCACGAAAACAGAGGCGGGTGGCAACAAGCATGCGCCACGCACACCCCAGCGTCCGTCTGCCCGGAAGAGGCGAGATGACAGCAGTCCTGAGGAGGACGGCGTGCGCAACCTCACCCAGGTGGCGCTGGCCTCCACGTTCGCCGCATGTGCGCCGACACCGAGCCTGCTGCAGAACCCGCTGATCTCGAACGGGGCCATACCTCCCTGGATGTTGACGCGCCCGCGGCTGCTGTCCGGCACGGGTGTGCCAGCTGGACCTGACGTGTGGGGAGACAGGCTTGGGCAGGAGACGGCGAAGGCCGACGAAGAGGAGGATCTCGTGTCAGACTCAGATGACGAGGACGGTGGCGAAGATACAAGTGCAACCAGGTACACGGGTGTGAAGCTGGATCCGAACACCGGCAAGTACTGCGTCAAGATTTTGTTTAAAGAACGTGGGAAGCGCAAGCAGCAGAGACTGGGAGGGTACACCACTGAGGAGGAGGCGGCATTTGCATACGCCGCCGGTGCGTTCGTGCTGAGGCCTAGCGAGAGGATACCCAACACCGTCAGCCTGTCGGCCGCAGAGAAGGCAACGCTGCGGGGGTGCACCAAAGAAGATTTACAGACCCTGGTGGAAGCGAGGAAGTGGTGGAGGTGGAGGAGTTGGCGTGAGGCGCTGGAGAGCGTGGGCCAGCGGTTGAAACGAGTGAGGAAGCGTGGGGGTGCAACAGGTGCATCAAAGAGGCGCAGGGTTGTGGACCACGACCACACAGCTACCAACGACCCAGCGGCAACCGACAATGCTGAGAGTGGGGGGACGGCCCCAGTGACAAACGAGCAAGGCGGAGGTGCAAGGGACAATGACCAGGAAGAGCGGAGGGAAGACACTGGAGCTGAGGAGAAGACATCAGAGATGGCTGCATAATTGGTGTGGAGTCAATGTGTGGTTGAAACATGTCCGTGCACGTAGTTGCTCACCCTTGTGTAGCTTTCGGATAATGTTGCATTTGGAATGAAGAGTCTTGTGCGTGCAAAGTATGAACGACAAACACCGTTAGCTGGTAATGCAATCGTGAACTTGGTGTACTACATGTTTAAGTGAGTAAGGGCCTCAACGAATACCGGAACCAGTTCCGTGACGAGTGTCCACACAATGAAGGTATGTGGACAATGTTGTGACCACATGATGTGCGCAGTGTATGGTTCGGGGGTGGACACCCGTCAATGTGCGAGTGACGTGGTGTTCTGTAATTGGGGGTTTTGGATTGCGGTCATCCAGATGTGTACGAGGCAGTATTGGGTACCAACCTCCTCATGTATTCGGTGCAGCGGAGTGTCATGGAAGCTGAGCATCTCACCGCTACGTAGAAAAGTGGTTATCGCGTCATTATGTGCGCATCTCACTGGATACTTCAGTTGCTTCAATGGATACCTCAATTGCTTCTGAGGATACCCGAGCTGGGGGACGCTCCCGTCGTGTCTCGCTCCCGCCTGCGTACCTGCGAGCGTCATACCAGTTGACGATGCCGCGAGGTCGACTGTCCAACGGGAACCGTGGGGCGCCCTTACCCAAGAGCATGAGCTTCCGCAAGAAGGGGAAGGAGGTGGTGCAGCCAGAGGAAGGTATGCATTACGATCATGAGTGGATCAGTCACGACGTTCGCGGCGGTTGTTGCGCGCGTATGCTAACTTGCGGTTCTGTGCGCCTGTTGTCATTCTGTCACCCACAGATGACGGCACTGGGGCGGAGAGTGCAGATTCGTCCGAGCGCAGCGAGGATGAGGACGAGGAAGGCGGAGACACGTCGGCATCAGGATCAGGCGAAGAATCAGCCGAGCCCGCTAAGGGGGGGAAGACGGACGACGATGGGCGTGCGGGACCATCCGCGGCCAACGCTGACACTCGCGCTAATCACGACGTGGACGGACTGGTGGGACCCACACGCTGGGACACAGTGGACGCCAACAGCGATGACGTGCGCATACCGAGCCGTATCCTCGAGCAACTCATTCAGGCTCAGGACAAGAGCGCCAAGGAGAACGCGCGGTTGGAGGCGCTGTTCTTGAATGCGATGTCTCGGCCGTCCAGTGGCTCTCATAAGCGTAAGGTGACCAGGCAGAGAGACCCGGGGCAGGGTTGTATGAACCCGAAGCGTAAGCGTGGCGAGACGTGGAGTGGCGGGTCAGACGATGACGGCGAGGACGACGATGACGACACACATGGATCTGGTGGCCGTCATATGCGCACGGCCAGGTCTCCTATTCTGCAGCGCGCCTTGGAGCATTTGCCTGCGGACAAGGCGTGGAAGGTGAGCGGGCCCGTTCCCGTCCGGTTCCATTATTCAACCGTCATGCATACCGGTGTGCGCCACTCATGTTGTTGTGTATACCTTATGTGCGCAGCGGGTGTGCGAGCTGGCCAGGGTGCACATGTTTCTCAACAGGCCGACGTCGATGATGACCTTCTACCCGAGCAGCGACGACAAGACACACGGGGTGTGTGCGGTGCTGGACCGCCTGCCGCATAGCTTCGCCTGTTTGGCGTTGGCGGCTGACAAGTCGCGTCGCGCTGATCTCAACAAGACACTCTCTGAGTGGAAGACGCGGGCTGCCGCCCGCGTGCGCGACATTGCACTTCCCAAGCTCGGCTTGTTCCGCGACGATCGGGACGCATCCAGCCCATGGGCACCGGAGAAGGAACGCAGTATTGAGAAGATCCGGGAGCGCATTGGGTTCGGCGCTGACCCCCCTGGTGAGTGCGGTCTACCCCAGCAACCAGGCTTGCCACCGCATCGTTATGCTGTCACCCTCGTGCGTGACGGCCGTTGACACTGACCTGCATGCACGTGGGAATGCAGAAACACCGGTGCTCACGACATGGGCGACAGACCGGGATGGCATGCCGTTCGCCTCTCGGGCGTTCGCGACATGTGCGAAGGCTGCATTCAGGCCCAAGAAGGCCGGCCTGGTGATGACGCTGAAGGTGTACCACCTGGCCTGGTTGGAGCATGTGGTGAGTCTGTGCGCTCTATGTGTGCCATGCATCTGTGTTGTTTACGTCGGACCATTTGAGTGACACGATGCGTGATGGCGCAGGTCTCCGACTGCGTCCTCTACTGGGAGCAGAGGAAAGGCCGGCTTTCCAACTCGGCCGGCGGAAACGCCCACGTTGTGGACGGCCTCAAGGTCCTGGTTAAGGAGGCCGTGGAGAGGGCGATCAGGATCCGCAACCCGGAGTATGACGCGGAGCGGGAGGCGTGGATCTGGGGGCGCCATGGTCTGCGCATCTCTGCGTGCGGCCTGGAGCACATGAGGCCCGCCGGCGCAGCCCAGCCGGAGGAGCCAGTGGGGGACGACGACCTTTCGGCATCCGTGGGGGATGAGTAGGACGGCTGGCGTGGAGGGGATGGGGGAAGCGTGGGTTTTACCGTTGCGGGGACAGTAGATTGGCTGCGTGTGTACGATGATTTGCGGCTGTGTGACAGGGTTATGTGTAGCTGTGGAACGCGCACCTGGGTTAAGCATGTGTCAGTGTTGAAGATGTGGGGGGGTTAGACATAGGCGTGGAGGCGTTGTATGTTTGTGTGTCCGTTTGTTGTTAATGGGAAAAGCTTCAATTGGGGTATTGCTCGCATATGACAGCACATAATAGAAACTATATGGTGCATGCCACAGCGAACCCGCCGTCGCCCAGATGTGCGGGACGGAGAGGGATGCGCCGCATTCTGCGGCGAATTTTACGGTGTGTGCCATGTGTCACCTGTACGTTGGACGTAAAGGACGCAGCGGTGCGCGTAAGTGGACATCTGGTTGGACCGCAACAAGGCTAAGGGATGACGTGGAGCCAATGGTATGGGAGGGTGGCACGCGCTTGTACACCCGTGTCACAATCGTGGACGAGCGTGAAGATGAGGCCGACGGTGGGATGTGCGCTGTGATATGCTATACGGGTGCGACAAATGCACGGTTGTGAGTGGTTCGCGCATACGTCGCAAACGTGAGCCACGATGGGTAGGGCAACCGGTTACCGTTTGTGCGATAGCATGATCGGGTTGCAAGTGTACGGGTAAGATGGATTAATTGTGCGTGACGTGGAAGGTCGGTGGTGTTTACGATGTATACAGATGGACGACGCAGGTGTCGTCGTCATCTAGTTGCGAGCGCAACCCTAATGGTAGGCGAGACTTTTCGCGAAGTGCACGAAACGGTGGCATTGGTTCAGGTGTACGGTGTTTATGCATTGGCGCGTCTGGTGCGGACGCACGATGCGCAAGTGGAGTGAGGCCGCGTGGATGAGGGGTAGTGGCTACCGTTGGCGTGATATGCGGTTTGCTGCCCTATGGGATGCATCCAAATGTACGGTGTGGGAAGGATGCTTGACCACCAGATGTACGGTGCAGATCGGAGCGCGGTGAGCTTGCAAGGATGTGCGAGTTTGTGTGCGCGAATGCGTAACGTGCTATGCGAGTTTATGTACAGGCGACACGTGTACCGTAGTGATTGCGTGACCAGGGTGTCCATCCAACGGTTGTGGTTGCTGTACGTTTTGCTGCATGTACGCTTACGTGGACGTGGGAGTTGAAACAGTATGCCACGTGGGGAAGCCCGTACGGATTGGCAGTTGGGGTTACGTGCTCGTCGCTTTCGAGTTGGTTGACACGGTATGGGCAGGTGAACATTTGGGTGGAGCAGCCCGTGACTGTTTAGCATGTGCGCAGATGCGGGTGGCGTTGCTAAACGGTTGACTGAGTTTGTGCAGAAAGGCGCGGGAAAGTGACTCGGAAGTTACTACGCCAGTGACTGTCGCCACGCAGTTCTAAAACCTTGACTCAAAAGTGCCGGGGGTGTACTATCGGGTAAGTTGTGCAAGAGTGTATTCAGGGTTACTTTCCGCACTTCCCAATTTCGCGATGTAGGTGCACCTCTTTGTCGTCTTCGTAAACGCATCGCGAAATGTCTCGAGCCCACAAAATGTACACAGAAGCTTTTCTTGCGGAAAAGCTTATGAAAAGCTTCGGCGGGGCTCAGAGAAAGCTCTGGCCCCAAAGTGACTTCGAAGTGACAAATGGCCATTTGCTTTCACGCAACCATGAAGTGGCAAAAATGTTGATTTCGCCACTCAACCTCTATCCACACTCACCCAAGCGGTGTTCCGCGTTGTACAATGGGTTACAGTGTGGTTTGTTTTTCAAAGAGAGAGACGAAGACCACGAATTGTAACAGAGCAGACCGAAATATAGAAATCAAACAACCAATCAACAAGCATGGCGACAAACTCAAGCCAACGAAATTTGAGAAGAACCAAATCATCGCCAAACACTACCCCCCCAACTCCGTTCCGTTGTACCCAACCAACGAACATTCTTTAACCAATCAAAAGAACCAGACACTTTTCCACCAATCTCCACGTCATCACCTCTCACACCAACACCTCCAGAATGGACTAGAGCCATTTCTTCTCGACCACTTCTTCTCAACCATTTCTTGTCAACCAGTTTCTCGACCATTTTTTCTTCTTTTCTCTCGTCCGTTTCTCTAGTCCGTTCATGCTCATCTCTAGTCTGTTTCTGCATTCTCCAGCAAGATTTCCCTGACGTAGTATTGCCCTACTGTGTTCATGGCATCGTTCTATGCTTGCTGCTTCTACTCTCGTTTTAATTTTCTCCGTTGTTGTTGCCGTGTTTTGTGCTATCGGACGGTTGGCACCGAAGTGCCCTCGGTGGGTTGGGGGCATACCACCGCCCCACCACCGTGTGAGAATAGTAGATGTGGGGCCTAGGCTTAGTAGCCTAGGCCCACACTAGGAGGTAGGTGGGCTTGCTCTAGAACTAGGAGTTAGGGTTTACGAAGGAGAATTGGAAGGAAGAATGACTGGACTAGCAAGCAGCAGGACACACAAATAGAAAACCCTAAGGGGTTGTACTCAGTATTGAGCACCCCACTGCAGGCTAGACAAATAACATTCTGACACACCCCCATAGCCAAAGTGGGGTGTAATCAGCAGAGCAGGCAAAGCAGTACAAGCTCAGGGTGGATCACAATGTCACCACACATTCTGAGCACAAGTTAAAGAAACAATAGTTTAAAGTTAAGAATTATGAGCAAAGCTAGTGGTAGTCACAACTGGCAAGTGAGGAGGAGGAGAGAGAGTGAGGGAAGAGGAGATAGGAGGAGACGGCTGAAACTGCAGACACACGGGCAACAGGAGGCAGACTGGCACAGCGGCTACCGGACTAAGCGCCCGGACTACAGGAGTAACAGGCCCCGCGGCTAAAGTAGCGGCAGACGAGCAACGGACCCACGGGCGGCTGGCGTAGAAGTCTAGCTCACTGGGCTACCGGGACAGCGCCCCGGACTACAGGTGGTGCGGACAACAGTACGGCAACTTCCATGCAGCTTCCCCAAACAGTCCCACCCCCCTGACACACACCCGCTGCTACACCGCTAGCTCCACTCTCACGCACCCCCCTTAAACCCTAAACCCCAGTCTCCCACACAACCACCCCCCTCAGCGACAGCTGCAGCAGTGGGAGACGAAGGAGGAGGAGGAGCAAAGGGAGGAATGCACACAAGCCACCCCCATACCCGCAAACCGGGGGGGGGGGGGAGACCAGAAACAGTGCGCACGAGGGCGCAGACAGTAGCAGAGCGCACGAGGGCGCGAGCGCGAGGCACGAGCAGCACCAGGCACATGCAGCACAGGGCAGCACAGGCACGGGCAGCAACAGGCACAGGCAGCACAGGCACGGGCAGCACAGGCACGGGCAGCAACAGGCACAGGCAGCACAAGCACGGGCAGCACAGGCACGGGCAGCACAGGCACGGGCAGCACAGGCACAGGCAGCAACAAGCACAGGCAGCACAGGGCAGCACAGGCACGGGGAGCAGCAGGCACAGGCAGCACAGGCACGGGCAGCACAGGCACGGGCAGCACAGGCACGGGCAGCAACACGCACAGGCAGCACAGGGCAGCACAGGCACGGGCAGCAACAGGCACAGGCAGCACAGGCACGGGCAGCAACAGGCACAGGCAGCACAGGCACGGGCAGCACAGGCACGGGCAGCACAGGCACAGGCAGCAACAGGCACAGGCAGCACAGGGCAGCACAGGCACGGGCAGCAACAGGCACAGGCAGCACAGGCACGGGCAGTACAGGCACGGGCAGCACAGGCACGGGCAGCACCAGGCACAGGCAGCAACAGGCACAGGCAGCACAGGCACGGGCAGCACAGGCACGGGCAGCAACAGGCACAGGCAGCATAGGGCAGCACAGGCACGGGCAGCAACAGGCACAGGCAGCACAGGCACGGGCAGCACAGGCACGGGCAGCACAGGCACGGGCAGCACAGGCACAGGCAGCAACAGGCACAGGCAGCACAGGGCAGCACAGGCACGGGCAGCCACAGGCACAGGCAGCACAGGCACGGGCAGCACAGGCACGGGCAGCACAGGCACGGGCAGCACAGGCACAGGCAGCAACAGGCACAGGCAACACAGGGTAGCACAGGGCAGCACAGAGCGTACCGGGTCCAGGGGCGGCAGCTGTTGCAGGCGCTGGTGGCGGCTGCTGCTGCAGGCTCTGGCGGCGGCTGCTGCTGCTGGGCGGAGGTGGCTGCTGCGGCAGAGCGGCGGCGGCTGCTGCTGCTGGTAGAGCGGCGGCTGCTGCTGCTGGGTCGGTGGCGGCAGCTGCTGCAGGCCTGGCGGCGGCTGCTGCTGCAGGCTCGGCGGCGGCTGCTGCTACAGGCTCTGGCGGCGGCTGCTGCTGCAGACTCTGGCGGCGGCTGCTGCTGCAGGCTCTGGCGGCGGCTGCTGCTGCTGGGCGGCGGTGGCTGCTGCGGCAGAGCGGCGGCGGCTGCTGCTGCTGGTAGAGCGGCGGCTGCTGCTGCAGGCTTGGTGGCGGCAGCTGCTGCAGGCCTGGCGGCGGCTGCTGCTGCAGGCTCGGCGGCGGCTGCTGCTGCAGGCTCTGGCGGCGGCTGCTGCTGCAGACTCTGGCGGCGGCTGCTGCTGCAGGCTCTGGCGGCGGCTGCTGCTGCAGGCCTGGCGGCGGCTGCTGCTGTAGGGCGGCGGCGGCTGCTACTGCAGGATCTGACGGCGCCCCGTGGGTCCCGCAGGGGGCGTCGCGACGAGCAGGGGCGACGCCCCGCGGGTCCCACAGGGGGCGTCGCGACGAGCATGGGCGACGCCCCGCGGGTCCCACAGGGGGCGTCGCGACGAGCAGGGGCGACGCCCCGCGGGTCCCGCACGGATGTCGCGACGAGCAGGGCGACGCCGCGCGGGTCCCGCAGGGGGCGTCGCGACGAGCAGAGGCGACGCCCCGCGGATCCCGCACGGACGTCGCGACGAGAAGGGCGACGCCGCGCGGGTCCCGCAGGGGGCGCCGTGACGAGCAGCGGGGAGGGCAGCGCGCAGGCCCCCTCGAGGGCGCTCCGACGGACGGGAAAACTGCCGCGCGCCCCGAGCGCGCGGCGGGCAGAAAAAGCCGCCACGCGTTCGAAGCGCGTGGCGGGATGAAAATGCAATGCCGCGCACCACGGGGCGCGCGGCGAATAGTACGGCAGCGGAAGTAGGTGGTGGGCCCGATGAACTAGGCGGCAGGATCATGCCGGCTCTAGATACCATGTTAAAATAGTAGGTGTGGGGCCTAGGCTTAGTAGCCTAGGCCCACACTAGGAGGTAGGTGGGCTTGCTCTAGAACTAGGAGTTAGGGTTTACGAAGGAGAATTGGAAGGAAGAATGGGGGACTAGGAAGCAGCAGGACAGACAAAATGGCAAACCCTAAGGGGTTGTACTCACTATTGAGCACCCCACTGCAAGCTAGACAAATAACATTCTGACAGGTGGGAGTGCCTTCTGTCTTGGTCAGTTTACGTCGTGCAGATGTGTGTTATTTTCACGGTGCGCTCCTCATCGCGCGACGTACTATTTATATTGGCGTATTTCGTGAGCAAGTTTCCAAACGGACGAGTATTCGTAGTGTACCTGCTGCCGACAGGTAAGTGGCCGCAGGTATGTTTACTACTAGATTCGTACTCGCTTGGCTAACGCCAGTTTGTTATGTCTACTACCAATTCGTATTCTCCTGGCTAACATCAGTTTTTTGCAGGTTCCATGGCAAGAGAGAAAGAGCTACCCTGCCATTCTTGAGTTTTGTTGTTTTTGTTTTTTCGTGTGTTTCAGAATCTCAGGCTCAAGTGGTTGAAGGGGCAGCAATGTTTGCTTCTCTTGAAGTACCTTCATTTAGATTGTTTAGTTGTGCCAGAACATGTTGATTATGGTGTTAGTGCGAATTCTTAGCTCTGATGTACTATGATTGTATTTATAAAAGTCTATGTTTCTCAATGTACAAATATTCTTCACACTTTTCATTGCGTAGGTCAATATGCGTCTCGAAATCTGATTGGTCCACGTGGCATTTTGCCGTCCATTATTCACCTTGACACCTGGCATAAAATATCTGTAAACGTGGCGTTCATGCATCCACGTGGCAAAAGTGGACTTAAAGCCCAACACCTTCAGACAAATGTCACTCCTGATGTCTCCTTTTAGTTGGGTTGTGTGGTTGCGATATGGCTGTTCTTTTGCAGCATTGTCGTCACTTTTCCGCAACTTCGAAAGTCACCCCGCCCCAGAAGCCTTTGACCTAGACTTTTTTCAGCCAGAACTGTACACAGATTTGACTTCAAGGTTCTCACTTGTCATTGTCATGTGGTCAGTGCACATGCAAACGACGAAACTGTTTGCAGGACCTCTTGTGGGGGAAATCACGTGAGAGGAAATCATGCGCAGCAGCACCAGGTGTTCCATTCCAACTATGTTGGTGGCAGCATCAGGTAGCGAACAATACAGATACACCTAATCGAGTTTGATCGCGACTGATCTAATCATGTTGCTTGTGATCGTAGTGTCCGAGCCGCCCGATCAGAGATGATTTTCGGAGAAGGTTGTCAGCGCCTGCACAGCAAGCGCGATACATCTGCGTGGCATTTTTGTCACCATTTTAGCGAGATTGACGACCAGACTTCACCTGGAGAAAATCTTCGTTTCACTGTAGTGCAACAGTCTAACTACTCGCAGGCATCGCTGGGTACCCCGATCACAAGCAATCAATTGATTGCATGTGATCGAGGAAAATCGACTCTGATCGGGGATAAAATCGGGTCTGATCGAGGTTGGGTGATCAGCTGATCGCGATCAGCTGATTGCCCCTTATTGCCTGAATTTGGCCTCCAGGCTTCCTAGAAACTATTGATCCCGGCTGATCGGGACGATCGAACCCGATTGGGCCCACGCCATAACCACCGCTATTTTCTTTCGGTCTATTTTCAACCCCACTTCCACAAGTGGGGTATGCACCCTTTCTAAATCTTTGACCGAGGGTTGTGTGGACCGAGAGTCTGTTCCAGATCCCCGAAGAGAGTAGTGTAAAAGTGGCGCTTGAGGAGAGTAGAACGAGGATGAATGACTAAGGAATGGAAGTGATACAAATATGCAACCCTAGAAATGTGTACCCCATATAGGCTACCCCACTATAGCCTACACAATATTATAATTTCACACACCCCCATAGGCAAATTGGGGGAGAACAAGGGGTCACAAGACCAGTCAAGCAAAGCAGACAAAGCTCAGGGTGGATCACAACGTCACCACACAGTCCGAGCACAAGGTCAAGGCCACAAGGCCACTTCACATGCAGGAGTACACATATATATAAGGCTAAACAAGCAAGAGCAGGTATATATATATGTAAGAGTGCAATCAAGGTCAAGGGGTGAGCAAGTGAGGCAAGACAGACACAAGACCGAGCCGAGTGTAGAGGCACTGATGATCACAAGGCGGAAATGCCTTGGTGAAAACATCAGCAGTGTTGGCCTCAGAGGCCACGTACGCAAGTCGCAACTGACCACGCTGCTGCAACTCACGAGCAAGAAAGTAGCGGAGAGCAATGTGCTTCGATCTGTGCTCCAGGCGCTGCTCCCGACACACTAGCCTTGTTGTCTACGTACAGCACTGGAGGAGAACAAGGCGGCTCTCCGAGGTTAGTCAGCAGGTAGGTGAGCCAGCGAAGCTCCTGTGCAGCCATGGCCCCGGCGTAGATCTCAGCCTCACAACTGGAGCCGAGAACAGAAGACGAGCGAGTAGCCCGCCACGAAAAGGAGCCGGAACCAAGGCTGAAGGTGTAACCCTGTGACGACTGCTGCGTAGCCTGGTAGTCAGCCCAAGAAGCGTCCGCGTGCCCAGTGAGGACCACTGGACTCCGCCCTCCAAGCACTAGCCCCATGCCCGACGTACTGCACAAGTAGCGCAACACCCTCTTCGCTGCAGCCATGTGCTCTGGTCGGGGTCTCCCAGGAGCAACATAGCGTGCAAGAATGCTAAGAGGGTATGCAATGTCAGGTCGTGTGCAGGTCATCAGGTACATGAGGCAGCCAACAAGCTCTGGGTACGGGCCACTCGACTCTACAGACTCATCCGAAGGCAGAGCTAAGAGCGAGTGGCGAGTAGACAGAGGAGTGGCCTGAGGCGAGGAGTACGTCAAGCCGAAGCGCTGAAGGACCTGCTGCACCATGTGTGACTAAGTCAGGGTAATGGTGTGGCGTGCTCTGTCCCGGGTGATCTGCAAGCCAAGGTAGCTGCGCAATTCACCCAGGTCTGTGCACGTGTGTCTCTTCTGCAGCTCGGACTTCACGTAGGAGAGTCCAGCAGTGTGAGCTGTGGCAAAGACCAAGTCGTCAACGTACACGAGGATGTAGAACGGCGGCAGAGAGGTGTCGGTGGCCGGCAAAGACCAAGTCCAGCGGCCGCTGGCTCCGCACCACCAGGCTCAGTAGCTCTAGACGCAGCACCCCCAGGCTCAGCAGCTCCTGACGTAGCACCCCCAGGCTCAGCACCCCCACTCGTAGCACCCCCGGGCTCAGCACCCCCAGTCGTAGTACCCCCAGGCTCAGCACCCCCAGTCGTAGCACCCCTCAGGCTCAGCACCCCCAGTCGTAGCACCCCAAGACTCAGCACCCCCATGCTCAGCACCCACGCGCGCAGCTTCCCCAGAGTCAGCACCCCCAGGCTGAGCACCCGCAGCAGTACCAAAGTCACCAGCAACCTCGACCGGCTCGACTCCGTCTACCTGGAAAACACCTGAAGGGGCAGGACCCTGAGGGGGGAGGGGGTCTACCGGGTGGGGACCTGGCACAAGGAAGTGCGGTGGCGGGGGGATGGAAGGAGTGCGGTAGGGGAAGAGGCGGTAGTAGGGGTCTGACTCGTCAA